TTCTCTTCTTCTGGGCTTCCGAAGGCAACGTTAGAGAAGAGGCATGCCGAAAGCTTTTTCTATGGGCTTCCAAAGGCGACGTTAGACACCCACGGGCCCCGCCCTCAAACGCTTCTCGGCAGCCGGCAGGCCTGCCCCGGCCTCTCTGTGGCCTGTCCGAAGCCTGCCTCTTCTCTTCTTCTGGGCTCCCGAAGGCAACGTTAGGCATGTTGGACCGCCCTCAAACCATCCTCGGCACCTGCCAGCGCCGTTGGCCAGCCTCCACACCCCTGCCCGGGACCTTTGGCTGCACATTCCTTCACCGCAGCCTTGCCTGCGAAAGCCGGTGTGATTCATGGTCGCTTTCTATTTCGTCGTGTCGCGCTTGCTCTCCGGCACTCGCCAGCTTTTTGTCGGGCATTGTTTTCCTGAAGGTGTGTTGTGTGCGGCCTGAATGCGCCCAAAAAGCAGCGTTGACCAGACCACACTGTGGCACGCGGGGCACCTTTGCGGACGCTGGCGTGTCTGCGCGCTAACAGTGCCTTCTTTGACGTAAAACTGGTTGCCGCACACCGTTCGGTGATTTATTTGCCGTGTTTTCAGATTGCTTGCAACTTGCCCTTTGCAAAATGGACAAACATAGTCACACTTCCTCGCGGCAACGTCTCCGTCTTTGACACGAAAACGATGCCCGCATGCACGGCGGTGATCTATTTGGCCTGTGCGCACGCTGCTGCTCACCGACGCCGCACAAAAAGGACACGCATATTGGAACATTTCCTTGCCGGCTTTCCGTCCAGGCACCTTTGCCGGCGCTGCGTTTGTCTCCTTCGCGGCTCTCGCCGTGGCCTGCGTCTCTTGTTGCGGTCTTGCCTGCGCGTCTGCGCGTTGATCGTCGTGCGTTGTAGGCCCGCCCTCTGTAACACTGTTTCGTGGTGGCGCCGGCACTGTCCTGGCCTTGGCGTTTGTGCCCGTTTCATTTTCGGTTGGAGCTCGACCCTTGTCAGGTTCCTGTTCCCTTTGCAGTTTGTGGTCTGTGCGCACTTGGATGCTCACCGACACGTGTTTAGCACGCTTCGCTACAGGCACTGCCTGCGCTGCTTGCGTTGTCTGTGCGCGGGGCTGCGTCTTCCTGGGCGTCGGCTGCGCCGGCTCGTCAACGTGTCCGTCTTTGACACGAAAACGATTCCCGCATGCACGGCGGTGCTCTATTTCCCCTGTGCGCACGGTGCTTCTCACAGGTGCCTGACACGCCGGGCAAACATATCGGAATGTTTCCTGGCCGGCCTTCTGTCCAGCCAGCTCTACTGTATCTTCGGGTGGACCTCGCATCTGGTCCGTTCCCTCTGCCCTCGTCCGTTTTTGCTCTGTGTGCATATTGTTTCTGACCGACTCGTGTTTTGCACGCTTTGCTGCTGGCTCTTCCGACGCTGCTCGCGTCGTCGCTGTGCGGGGCGGGGTCTTTGTCTCTGTCGGCTCTGCTTGCTTCTCTGGTTGTGTTTTCATCTGTTGCGCACGGTCAGCGATCTCTTCCCTGACAAGAGCTATGACTTGCTATCTCTTTTCCTCCGCTACCTTCGTCTGCCAGGCAGTCGCACGGCGTATCGCTTGTCGACACACGCTTCTTCGCAGCAACGGCCGTACGCTGTCCGGGCTCTCTGCCCGACTGCACCTGATTACCTGCTGTCTCTTGTCCTGCACTCGCAGCTTGTATAGTCTGCCCTTTGCCTTCTTTGCAGCCGCCCGTATTTCCGTTGCCTGGACGCACGGATTGCAACGCTGCTTTCCATTTTGCCTCGTGCTTTGCCGTGTCCACGCGCTGAAGTGCTCGCGTGCTTTTTGCTCACTGCACACTCCGCAGCGCCAGTGACCTGTCACTTTCACTGCGCAGTCCTTGCAACAACGTCGGTCTGCATGTCGCGCCTTCCACGCAGAAGCTCCAAACGCGCTCGCCGGCTTTGCCACGCCGCACTTGCAGCACGGCTTCTGCACTTCGCACGTGTGGCACACGCGGTAGAAAGTGCACGGTGGGCGCGCGTATTGCTTTGCAAAGGCCGCCTCGTCCTGCCATGCTTTGCATACGCTGCATTGCCACGGCGTGTTGTTTGCCGCATGGTTACGCACGCATTCTCTGCACACCCGCGCGGCTGCTTCCCGTTTCCACTGCCCTGCAGTGTACCCGCTTTTGGGCTTGCGTTCGCGGCACTCGCTGCACGCTGCTTCTTCTCGGTAGCGCGTGCGTAAGGTTGCCCAATCGATGCAGTCCCCACGCCAGGTCTGCAACAACAGAGCCCTCCCCACGCTACATCCTTTCTGGTATGGCGAGGCATCAAAGGGTCTGTAGATGTATAAACCCTCTCTATCTCTCACCCGTGTCACCGCAATGTACGCTGTCATGGGGTCTCCGCCTTCGCCGAGTTGCATGTCTGTTATTGCACCCTCTGCGTAGGTTTGCCCCTGTGCGGCGTGGGCAGTCGTTGCAAAGCCTGGGGCCAGCGGAAATTGCCGCCGGACGACACGTAGCATTGGCCGGCTCCTGCCTTTGTCTATGTGCCATGGTTGCCGTTGAAGCGTCACAGGAAAGACGTTGTCCTTGTCCAGGCCTTGGACTCGCCACTGCGTTTTCGTTGTGAATTGGACGAAAATACAGGTTGGGGGCTGGTTCCAAATGTGTGTCTTTTGGTCTTGCGCTATCTCCTGCTCTTTTCGCCAGCTCCACCCGACCACCTTGCCTGGACATCCCTTCAGTATGCCTCTGCGCCGGTCCAGGTGGTCTGTTGCCGTCACTGGCATGCCCACGCACAAGGGCAAGACCCCATATAACCCTCCGCAGTCTTGGTCATGTCGCTGCAGCCACGTTAATTTCTCCCTCCCCAGATCCGGTTTTTCTTGCAATGCACGACTGGAGATAGTATCTTTTGCGATGGCATACTGCACTTCTTGACCCTGCCTCTGTGCCCAATCTTGCGCTCGCAACTTGTTCACATGGTACTTCACTGCGTTCGTCGCAAAAATTGCTTTGGCTCGGTCCCTTTTCTCCACTTCGACCATGTGCCCCGCGGTATCTACCACGCGTTTCTTGGACGCTCGTTCTTCCTTGCACCTGGGGCATTCATGCAGCCGGATGTGTGCGGGCGTGTATTTGCCCTGCATTAGCTTCCTGCACGTTGCATTCCCACACTCTAAAGCTTCGCCAGACCAACTCCCTGGGACTGATGTATCCTGGCCGTGCAAGAATGCATGGCTGTCCGCAGCGAGTCTGCCGTCCCGGATTTCTTTCTGTACATGTTGCAACCATACATCCCGCGTTCGTTCGCATTGCACGAGTTCGGTCAAGCCTTGGACCACACTCTTCTCCCCTACCGATCCCCATACCAGTTCCTGCCCATGCACGGTATGCGCTACTTTTCTGCTTTTCCCACTCGTTAGCATTTCCCAGGGCACCTCTCCCAAGAATGTTCCGCGTGGGGGCGGCAACTGCCAGAGGTCCCCGGACAAAATCACATTCAACCCCCCGAAGGGCCGAGCGTGAGCGCTTCCTCGTGCATACTTGCTCTGTGCGAGGTCTCGCACCAGCTCCCGGCATCGCAAATCCAACCTGGCTAAAAGCTCTGCGCTGACCATGCTGATTTCGTCTATTATTAGCCAACGCCATTGCACGGCCTTGGCACTCAAGTCCAAGAATTTGCTCCCACTGATTTTGTCGTCTGACGCACTCTGCCAATTTAGCCCCAGTGCATGGTGAATGGTGTCGCCGTCCAAATCATTTGCCATGACCGCTTGCAACGTCACAATCTGGTACTGAGACCCACGCGTCCACCCAGCGATCTGCTCGAACAGCTCTTCTCGTATGAGTTTCAATGTGTGCGATTTGCCTGTGCCTGGCCCGCCGTGCAAGGCCCACCGCAGTGGCTCGGGTGTTGCCCCTTCTGCCGGCTGCATTTCGGCTTTCATTTGCTCGACTATCCGCCGACAAAACTCGGCTTGTTGGGAGTTGCATTTGCCTTCGCTGAGGTCCTGGCTCCAGGCGTCTAATTTTCCGAGCGTTTCTGACAGCTGGACAGGTCGTTGCATGACGGATGGCTCCGTGGTGCTCCACCGCGCCCCCTGCAGGGATGGGGTCTTCTTGCGATGCAAGCCTTTCACAATATCTTTGCACTCTGTGTCCACATATGGGTTTTCTGCTTCCCTCTGCATTGGTTTGGCATAGCCCTTACCCCCCCACTGCTGCTCCGTAGTGTAGGAGAAGCACGGGTAAAAGGTATATGGAATAGAGTGTCTTGAGGACATAGCCTGTTTGTGGTTATTGCCAATCTTGGGGGGAAATTTACCCCCCGCTTATGTATGCCTTGAGCCGGACCGAGGGATAAGCATCACTTGAGGCCAGGGGGAACAGGTCGAACGCTAGCCGAGTCGCACCGGATGTACTAGTTACATAGTCGGCAAAGCGTGTCGGGATTACATGTTTTGGGAGGAAGCTTGCTGTGTACATACTTGGGGCTAGAGAATGAAATGCGACATCGCTGACTGGGCAGGGTACATTGGAACAACCCGGGTGCACTCGTTGGCAAGCACGAAGACGCGTGCTCCGCAAACTTGAGGCCAGGGGGAGGAGGTCGAAAGCTAGCCGAATTGCACCGGATGTGCTAGTTACATAGTCGGCAAAGCATGTAGAGATTACATGTTTTGGGAGGAAGGTTGCTATGTACATACTTTGCGCTAAAGAATGTGACATCGCTGACTGGGAAGGGTACATTGGAACAACCCGGGTGCACTCGTTGGCAGGCACGAAGATGCGTGATCGGCAAATCTGGCGGGTAAATTTACCCTCCGCTTTTGTATGCCTTGAGCCGGAAAGATGGGTAAGCATTTCTGACATCATACGGACTGTACATACACTAGGGCGTCCGTAGTGTAGGATAAGCACTGGTAAAAGGTATAAGGAGTAGAGTGTCTTGAGGAAATAGCCGGCTTATGGTTATGGCAAATCTGGGGGGTAAATTTACCCCCCGCTTATGTATGCCTTGAGCCGGAACGAGGGGTAAGCATCACAAGGACTGTGCATACACTAGGGCGTCCGTAGTGTAGGATAAGCACTGGTAAAAGGTATCAAGAATAGAGTGTCTTGAGGAAATAGCCGGTGTATGGTTATAGCAAGCCTGGGGGGTAAATTTACCGCCCGCTTATGCATGCATTAGGTTAGAAATAGGGGTAAACAACTTGTAACGGTCAAGTACAAGTCCTATGCAGCAAGCAGCAGCCAGCAGCAGCAGCAGCAGCCGCCTGCAGCCAGCAGCCAGCAGCAACCGCCAACCAGCCAGCAGCACCACGCAGCAGCAGCGCAGCATCAAGCCGCAGCAGCAGCAGCACCACCGGCAGCAAGCGCCACCGGCAGCAAGCAGCAAGCAGCAAGCAGCAGCAGCAAGCAGCAGCAGCAGCAGCGGCGGCGTCGTCAGCAACAGCAGCAGCAGCACCAAGCCGCAACAAGTAGCAAAGCAGCAGCTACAAAAGCGGCAACCAGCGGCAGCAGGAAGCAGCAGAGCGGCAGCAGCAGCACCCTTTACACCAAGCCACCGTTTACACCCAACCAACCACGTTCACAGGGGAGGGGAGGGGAGGGGAGGGGAGGGGAGGGGGGGGGGGGGGG